CATAGGGAGACCCTATCTCAAAAAGACCAAAAAATAAATAAATAAATAGATAAATAAATAAAATAAAAAAGTATTATTAACTTTGAACATCCCAAGTGATGTCATATGTGTGTCACACACCCCTGGTATGACGTGAGAAGAAGGACACTTCACGTCCTTTGTTGGTTTTATTTATATATTAATTTACTTTTTGTTTATTTTGTTTTATTTTTTAGACAGAGTCTCACTATGTAATTCTGACTGGCCTGGCACTCTCTATATAGACCAAGCTAGCCTCAAACTCACAGACATTCACCTGCCTCTCAAGGGGTGCACTACCACGCCCAGCCTCTATTTTGTTTTTTTTGAGTCTCAAAAACATAATCCGAAGTTAATAACAATGTGTCAGTCAATGTTGCTTTCTTTTAGATTTACTTTTGCTTATGCATGTCTGCATGTCTGTGTACATATGAGTGTATGCATTGGGTACCTGTGGAGGCCAGAAGAGGGTGTCTGATCCGATCCCCTGAAGCTGGAGTTAAGGTGTGAGCTTTCTCATGGGTGCTGGGACCAAACTCCTGTTCTCTGCGGGAGCCGCACATGCTCCGAACCACTGAGCGAGCCATCTAGTGTTGCTTTGTCAGTCTGGACAAACGCACTCTGACCATGTGCGGTTCTAACAATAACTGTCCTTACAACTTTTCTGCAACTCTAAAATCCCTCCAGAATTTAAGTTCATTAAAGAACAGTTACTAAGCTTGGTATTTTGATTTTCACTTATTACAAAATGTGAATGGATGGAATATTTCCCAATAAACTAGTAAACCAGTTTGTGAGTTCATGAAAGAGGGCCAGCTGTTGGTCAATACTGTGGTCATTTCCATTCATTATTTCAGAATCTATACTGAATGTAAGGGAAGCAAACATGAGATTCAGTCACCTGAGCAGAAATCACGACCACAAGCACTGCTGACGAAAGGCTAGGACTATCACAGGCCCTTTATATACTTGGCCTCCTAGGAGAGATACCACGTGTATGTTACATGCACCCTGGTACACTGTGTGACAATCGTATGCCCCTAATACAGTATGATAAGGTGTTAGGCAGTGATTTTGGGCATCTTTATGTCCCTAAACTTTAACTTTGCTTGACCTTAAGAGAAGACCAGGAAGTGCCTGACCAGAGAGTTGTGAGAGTGATCATTTATGAATTTCTTTAGCATATGGCTTGTTCTAGGGCCTTATTAGAGGAATTTTGCAAGTAGTTGATATTATTTATTTCTTCTGCTGACAAAAGAAACACTTCACTTTAGATCTTGCCTTCACTGTCAATAACATAAAGCTCAAATTCCTTAAAATGACTTTTGTTTTTGTTGTTGTTTGGTTTTTTGAGACGGTCTCAGTGTAGGCCCAGCTGGGCTGGAACTCACAGAGACCCACCTGTGTCGGCCTCCTGAGCGCTGGGACTGAAGGTGGACACTTCACCTCCCCAGGCTTTGTTTTGTTTTGTTTTTTTGAGACAAAATCTCTAACTCTGTAGCCCAGGCCTCAAACCTGTGAATCTTCCTACCTCGGCCGCCTGTTGCTGGGCACAGTTGTGCACCCACCCACATGCCCAGTTTCTTCGCAAGACTTTGAAAGTTAACTTTATCCTGTGTGAGAGCAGCTTGATTTCCTGCAGCCATTCTTTTTTTTTAAAGATTTATTACTCTTAATTATGTGTGTCTGCATGTGGCTGTGTGCACATGAGTGTATGTGCCCACAGAGGCCAGAAATGGATCCCCTGGAGCCAGAGTTATAGGTGGTTGTGAGCCACCCGACCTTGTTAACCACTCCAGCCTCCTCCCGCAGACATTCTTGCTGCTCCTTAACCTGCAACCACAGCAAACTGTCCGGAGCCTTCATCCCTATTTTTCGAACTCAGCATCTCTACAAGATCACCCTCCAAAAGGCTGCTGCTATGTCCCTCCTCTGAAGTCTCCCTAACTCCCGGGATGGTCCTGTGGACCCCTGGAAGTGTGCCTATGCCTATCTCCATTATAATTGTCACCTTGTTCTACTCTAATTTTCTTCTCTGTCTAGCACCGTTGTTTGCTGAACACAAAAATCAGAAGATCAGGGCTGGAGAGATAGCTCAGCGGTTAAGAGTACTGACTGCTCTTGCAGAGGACCCGGGTTTGATTCCCAGCACCCACATGGCAGAATCTGAAGCTCTCCTCTGACCTCCACGGCATTGCATGACGCAGGTGCACTCACATACATGCAGGCAACACACTCATACACAGAAAATAAAAATAATAAATAAAATATTTTTTAATAATCAGAAGATCAAAATCATCACCTCTTCTCTGCATTCTTCTGCTGCCTGGCTCTTACTTGATACTCAGCCAAGCTGATGACTAAATTGAATATGAGTAGAAGAACTGTGTATGTTCAGAATTGTTTTGTGGTAACTAATGAAAATTAACATTTAGTTATTTACTAAAAACTCATTTAGCTCATAGGAATGAAGACCTATATTATCAGGTATTTTATTTACTGCTGGTTCATCTATCAAACAGACTTAATGTGTGTCTGAGAGTAATTTAATCTTATGCTGGGCGTGGTGACAGGCACTTTTAATTCCATCACTCAGGAAGCAGAGACAGGCATATCTCTGTGAATTCAAGGTCAGCCTGGTCTACATAGCGAGTTCCAGAGCAGCCAGGATTGCACATATATAACTGAAGAAATAAATACAATTTTAATTTTACCATTCTATTGTTCTCTTATCCTCCAGATTCTACTTGCAGGCAACCCATGCCATAACTTCTAAATTGTATTTGGAAAGACACTGACCAGAGGTAAAAATGATAAAGTTTTTCCTGATGGTGAACAAACAAGGGCAGACCCGACTCTCTAAGTACTATGAACATGTGGAAATTCATAAGCGTACACTTCTGGAAACCGAGGTCATAAAGAACTGCCTTTCTCGATCCAATGAACAAGTAAGTGTGACACTTGCTTCTCTCTGAAGGCAACTCAGCCTCCACAGGTCTCTGTGGCCGGGTCTCAGGAGCCATCATGTTCTCCGCACTGTGTTCCTTCAGAAGATGTCAGGGAAAATGAGAAATGGAGTACAAGGATACCAAAGGGTGTTGGCTCTCTTTACATCCCCTTAAGATGGTAACCAAAGGAGCCTGGGTGTGACGGGCACTTTTAATGCTCTGGGGAGGCAGAGGCAGGGAGATCTCTGTGAGCTCAAGGCCAGCCTAGTCTACGGAGAGAGTTCCAGGCCAGCTGGGGCTACAATGGTGAGATCCTGTCTCAAACAAAACAAAATAAAACAAATCAGAGAGAAAGAGAGGGAAATGGAGAGGCGGAGGAGGGAGGGAGGGAGGGAGGGACAGACAGAAGGAAGCCATGAGAAGTCTTGGGTCTTATTTAGATTGGGACGCTTGTCTCCTTATGCCATAGAAGTAGACGCTAAATTTACCCCTGCGTGTAGACACAATCTTCCTTTTTTGTTCATATGAACTAAGCCTTGGAACTCATAACAGTGCTGTGGCACGTGACTTTCTGTAAGCCAAAACAGGAAGGTCAGATGACTGGCATGATGGTGAAAACCTGAGACCCATATTGTGCCAGAGGATAATAACATGGCTTTCATATGGAGGATATTTTAGTTTTTTCTGCTTATCATCTTTTATAAACATACCACCAACATAATATCAGAAGTAAGTAATTTAAAAATCTGGTTTGAACTTGTTTTACTATGTAGACAAGGGAAAGGGAAGTTAACAATTCATAAAAATGACAGATCTGGGGCTGGAGAGTTGGCTCAGCAGTCAAGAGCACAGACTGCTCTTGCAGAGGACCCGGGTTCAAGTCCCAGCACCCACATGGCGGCTACAAACCATCCTTAACTCCAGTTCCAGGAGAATCTGAAGCCCTCTTCTGACTGCACGACACGGGTGCACTCACATACATGCAGGCAATACACTCATACACATAAAATAATAAAATATTAAAAAAAATGACAGATCTACCCATCCTGCCAAAATTGGGAGGCTAAATAAAGAGAATAATAAGAGGAATAGCAGAGAGGAGGCAGAGGCAGGCGGATCTCTGTTAGTTCAAGGCCAGCCTGGTCTACATAATGAGTTCCAGGACAGCTGGGGCCACAGGGAGACCCTGTCTCAAAAAGACCAAAAAAAAAAAAGAAGAAGAAAGAAAAATAGTTTTTATGGTGCTGGGGGGCTGAACACAGGACCTCATGCATGCTAAGTAGGCAAATGCTTTACCACTATGCTATATCTCAGCCCCTAATTAGGGTTTTTTTTTAAACTGAGTCCACTTTTACCAAGAACTTAGAAAACTATCTATCTAGGGCCTCTCTGTCAAGTCCATCGGAAAGCACTTGGCAATGGGACCCCCGACTCATTTTCTCATTCTGCACCTCACTGTGTGTGTCGAGGCTGCCGTGGGAACACTGCAAAGTCATCAAATATTAAGCTGCTACATCGGTGCTTAGAGGCTGCGTTCCCCAAGTGTGTTTCCCTTGGTTTTGAAATCTGTTTTCTGGTTGGAATGCCTCTGAGTCCCTCTTTGAATTACTGCTCTGGCCTCCATTGGATGCACTGCTCTGTGGTTGTCAGCTAGAAACTGCTGGAAAACTATGTTAGTGGTCACATGTGTTAGGTAAAGGGAAACACACGGAGAGGGATGCCTGCTGTAATCATCCCTCAGAACACAAGCATGCCACAATTTTAAACAGAATTTTCACCGGAAGTTTACCCTTTGAAATTCAGCCTTTGAAATAAATATATTGGTAGATATTTTTGAAACATTCTAAATTATTTATATTTTCAGAAGAAACCACTGAACTTTGGCATAATCAGAAACCAGAATATCATAATATCCGCTCAGTTTTAAGTTCATTCAAAAATGTGCTTTGATTTTTTTTTTTTTTTTCAATACGAGAAACCTTTAAGAGACCAAAATCTGTTCCTCAGCCAGGCTTATAATCCCAGCATTCTGAAGGCTATGGCAGGAAGATTCTGAGATCAAGGCCAGCCTGGGCTACAGAGCAAGAACTAGAATAGCCTGGCCTGTGAGACCCTAGTGTCAAAAAGCCAAACAAAAAGCATCCTCAGATCCAACTGGCCAGAAACCTCACTGGCCCTACAGTTCACCAGAAGCTACAGAATGGTCCTGGACTTGCTATTAATGTCCTAATTGTTTTATTTTGTCATTGTTTTTGAGACAGCCTTGCTCTGTAGCCGGGCTGACCTTGAACTTCCAGCCTTCCTGCCTCCACCTCCTGAGTGCTGGGTGTACAGGACTGTGCCACCAGACCTGGCTCTGTCTATCCTAATTTTATTTTATTTTATCTATTTACTTAATTTATTTTTATTTGTTTGTTATAAGTCAGTGTCATACTTTGTAGCCTGAGATTTTCCATCCTCTATAAAGTTGAGATTCTCTTGTCTGAACCTGGGATTAAAGGCATGAGCCACCATGCATGGCTCTATCCTAATTTTATATCACACTCTTAAATTCCTCCATTTTGGGGCTGGAGAGATGGCTCAGCAGTTAAAAGCACTGACTGCTCTAGCAGAGGACCCAGGTTCAATTCCCAGCACCTTCATGGGGACTACGAACCATCCTTAACTCCAGTTCCAGGGGAATCCAAAGCCCTCTTCTGACCTCTGCGGCATTGCATGACACAGGTGCACTCACATACATGCAGGCATACATTCTAGCCTGGAGTGATGGCGCACCCCTGTAGTCCCAGCACTTGGGAGGCAGAAGCAGATGAATCTCTGTGAGTTCAAGGCCAGCCTGGTCTACA